GGGGGGCGGGCCCCCAGCCCCAGCAGACTGTCAGCGGAGGAACGGCCATGCCCCGGTGCCAGCGGCCATGTCCCGGCTGCGCCCTGGCCTGGAGGTTTCCTCGGCTGCTGACTTCTCCCGCCAGCTATGTAGCCTCACCTCCTGGCTGGCTCTAACCCACCGGCTTCACCCACACCAAAACGCCAACACGTGCCATAACACATCTTGCAGGCACAGGCAGAGGACCTCTCCCTGCCCAAATGCCCACCCTACGTGCTGTGGTGCCGGTGCTCGCAGCTCAACTGCATGGCAGCATCACCCACCCAAGCCAAACCTAGAGAGAAACTCTTATATCCCCCAGCCCCTATTTTATCCATGTTACCTAATCTTAGGTATGTTCCAAAAACTCTACCACTATCTACTTTCTCTCCCATTCAGGATCTTTTGTGAGAAGCATTCTCTGGAGCTTCACCTGCCTTGGCTGTGCAGCCTGGGTCCAGTGCTCAGCCCTGCAAAACTCTTGCCTTTCGGCAGGCTGCTCCTGCTCCTGCCACCCCACCAGGTCCCAGCCTCCGGCTGCTCCCCTGCCCTGCCCCCCCGCCGGGCCCCAGCCTCCCATCACCAGAGGAGCACGTGCAGCACCAGCCAGGCAAATGCCACAAGAGATGGTGGGACAGAGGAACCCCCACCGTGGTTACGCCAAGGTTGGATGTGGGACTGAGGGCAGGTGAGAACATGCTCTAGGATGCCCTTGTGTGGCAGGGAAGACCAGACGCTGGGAGAGGAAGGTCCACAAGTCGCGAGCCACGTTCGGCTTAGTTTCCAACCCTTCGGCATCGCTGATGCTCCAGGTTAAGAACAAGGCAGCCCACTCAGCACCGATGCCACACATGGCCTGCCGAGGGCCCGCAGCTCCCAGAACAGGGATGTCAGCACTGTCCCGTCTGCCAGTCCCATCTGGCATGCGCAAGGGATGGAAGCGTCCCGTGGGAGGCCCCCACTGACGTGGGCTTGGAGGTCCGGTGGAGGACACCCCTTGCCCCAAGCCATGCGGTGCCCGTGGCAGCCCAGGGAGAGCCCACACCTGGCTGAGCTGTAGAAAAAGAAACTGTCCCGTTTAATGATCCCTCTTCCCCGTAACACAGACGCGAGCGCGCCGCCGATGTGCGGCAAAGCAAAGTGCACGGTGAGCGGAACTTGGGGCCTGGGGGTGCCCGGCACGGCATGGGGCCCGGCGGGCACCCAGCCAGCAGCAAGGGCAGGGAGAGCCCCGGGCTCGGTCCAGTTGGCACCAGTGTCAGGTCCAGTTTGCAGGAGGTAGGGCTCTCGCTCGGCTCCGTGTGGTGCAGGGAGGGCAGGGGGCAGGTCAAGCGTACCAGGACGGAGGAGATGGGTTTGGGGACAGGTCCTGGAGAACGCCACCGTGGCAAGTTTGGAGCCTCCCAGCCCGAACCGCAGTTTAACCAAAGCAGGGGAAGAGAATAGCGAAGGGGCTGGAGGCTGAGCGGCCCGGCGAGGGCCCTCAGGACAATCTGGCTATTCCCATTTGCAAGGTATCCGGTGGTGGGGGGTGCGCAATCCGCCAAGCACCCCGAAACGGGAGAGAGCCTGGGCCGTTTACCAGCGGCTCCACGCCCCTGACAGTCTCTCCCAGGCGCGGCTCAGGCACCCCCGTGCCAGGAAAGGGGGTCCGAGGGAGCGGGGCCTCCCCTCATTATCTGATGGAAGCGTCGCTGGGGGGGTCGCGGTCGGACTCCTCGCTCTCCTCGTTCGGGGCCGACTCGCTGTTGGAGGCCGGGGTGAAGGCAGGAGACTTTCTGCAGAGAAGAGCAAAGGGCAGCGGTCACAGCACTGCCCAGGGTGGGGGGAAAGGACCCAGTTCGGTGTGGGCAGGGGGCACCAGAGCACGGCGGAGAGAAGCCAAAGTGCCCCTCTCGCTCCCCTGGGCATGCGTGGGAATCCTGGGGTGCTGGGGAGGGTGTCCCAGAGGACACCAGCCGAGAGGTCCAGAGCGTGAAGCAGGGCTTGGGGGAGATGCCGGAGGAGCCCGCCCAGAGCAGGACCCTGCCACAGCATGTAAGGCTAGGGGTCAGCGAAAGCTCACCACAGAGGTCCCCAGCCTGGAGCCACGCTGGCTCCACACGCCTGTGGGGATCTACACACGCTGGCTCCACACGCCTGTGGGGATGTCCCCGCACAATGCCACCTCATCTCTCCATTGGGGGTGTCTGGCTTCACCTGTCAAAACCGACTCCGGTGCGCAGCCCACCTTCTGCAGAGGTGGCACCCCAACCTGCATGGAGACTGCTCACCACGAGCCCAACAACCTCCCCGAACTGCCCTCTCTCCATGCCACACAGGGGCAGAGAAGCAGTACCACCCCATGCTTCAGCTCCCACTCACCACCACCCCGGCTCCAGTCCTCACCCAAAGCACAGGCATCCCAGCCCTCCGACACCCTCGGGTATCTGGCCGCCTTCTCCCGCTGAAGCTCACCTGTCCCCAGACTGGGTGATGAGCCGCCGACAAGTCTCCATCTGCACGTCCAAGCCTCGCTTCATGCTGCACATTTCCATGTACTCGTGCAGGTGCCGGTTCATGTCGTTCTTGGCCGTGGCCAGCTCCAGCTGCACAAGGGCAAAGGTGCGGACATGAGCCCGGGGCACGGTGCGGTGCAGGGCAGGGGGCACGGCTATACCCGAGGCTGTCACCCCCCATTACCAACCACCTGCTCCAGGATAGTGTCTCCCTCCCCCAGGGACCCACTCCCCCATTTCACCCCCTTCTGTGCCATGTCCTCCCCACTTTCTCCTCCTCCTCCGCCCACCTCTATTTGGTCGATGGTTTCCTGGTACTCCTTCTCACGGCTCTTGAACAGCGACTCCGTGTCCTTGATCACCTTCTCCAGGCTGTCGTCCTGCTGTTGAGGAGAGCAGACGGCATGTTTAGAGGCAGGGAGGTGTCCAACACGAGGAACCAAAGGCAAGAGAGAGAGAAATCAGAGAGAGAACTGGCAGCACTGGGAAAAGAGGAAGAAACATAAGCAGCGTAGTACAAATAAGGCACGAGTCAGTCCTGCCAGCACGGGGTAGAGAGACCCGGGACTCGCCACACTGGGCAGTGAGCACGTCAGCCCAGAGCAAGCCCAGCAACACACAGAAGCTTTGGAGAGCACCGACCGTCCCCAAACATGACATGTCCCCAGGGGACTGCTGAGGACCAAAGACACGGGACGGCTTTGGCCAGACTGAGGCCTCTGTTTGGGCAGTGTTGCTGCAGAGGGGGCAGGCAGGCTGGAGAGCCCGAGCAAGGGACCACCAGAGACCAGACCAGCCACAGGAGGTGGTCTCTTCTGGGAGGGCTGTGGCTCTCCCCACATGCGTGGGCCATGGCCCTCAGCACATCTTTCAGGCTACAGGTCTGTCTAACAAGGAGACCTTCACAAGGATGCAGTAACGTATTCACACAGAGAAGATGGGGTGTAGAGGGGAAGCATCTGTACAGGCCTGCAAGGGCTGGAGAGGCTGGTCTGGTCTTGGAGGGAGCATCTTCCCAGGCTCAGGCAGGACCAAGTGTCCCAACCCAGGGCTGGATCCCCGAGGGGACCCGACACCACCGTTACCTCCCCCTGCGCCTCTGCGGCTGCAATGGCGTATCCAGAGAAGTCCTCCCAGAGGAGCAGCGTTTCTTCTGTCTCCTCCCACGTGAGGCTGTCACAGTCATCCTCAAAGTCATATTCCCTCCTGGGGGCAAGGGAACAGCACGTCAGCACCCAGCAGGAAAAACCAGCAGGCAGGGCAAGGGGGGGGCCGTGGCAGTGCCGAAAGCCTTGCCCCGGCTCACAGGCAGGGCTGCAACTCTCGGGGGCCTGGCCAGCGTGAGCTCAAGTGTGCCCAAACCCAACAGCTGATGGGGCAGGGTCTGGCTTTATGGACGGGGGCCCCCAAAAACTCAGGCCGGG